CATTGCACTTGCTAGGCAAGTACTTGGCTACTGAGCTACATCCTAGCTCCCTCAGTTAAAATCTTAAGCTGGAAGAACATTAAGGAAACCACAACTGATCCTATACTACCCGGGGTTAAGAATATTAGAGTACTTGATGAAAAGGATATGACCATCTCTATGTTACAATCATCTGTTGTCATTATTATCATGGGGACACAACTCTGATGGTAAAAAGCCAGTTCAGCCAATATTTAACCTCAGATGGTTATGAATTTGCTGATATGCTCAGAGAACTACAGGAGCACCACTCTCTAAGGAGTTCTGGGCAATGGGCTGTATACAGAGTGGCTCAGTAAAAGTTGTTAAGGATCTCCCTCAATCAGAACCACTTGGGGGAAGAGGAGCTGCTTTCATGGTTTCTCTAAGCCTCTTCCTCCTTAAACTGGTCACCAGGGAAAGTGCATTCACTCGAAGGTTTAAAAGGCATACCAACAACTGGAAAAGCAAGGGATTAATATCAGAATATCACCCATAGCGATAAAAATTGTTTTCCCAGCCCTCCAGTGCTGCCTTCTAATTCTCTCCTGCCTTGTTTACCACACACTACTACAACAGGCGTGGACTGTTGATACCATCATTGCTGGAGCTGTTAAGCAATCAAGTTTCTCAAGACTATTAAATGATAAGAAATGTAGTTACATATATTATTACTGAACATAATGCCAAGTTGAATGTCCATCCTTTAGCTCAAGATAAGCATAATCTGGGAAGAAATATCACAGTTTGAATATTGTGTCAAAAATCTTTAATGCCACAGAATATTGTTCCCTTCATTTGATAATTAGGGCTTTCTGGTGTTTCACAAATTAAGGATGGTCAGTTTCACAGACTATCAGCTATAGCACTTGGAGTCGCAGTAGTATACCAGAATACACTGGGAGGAGTAAATATTGATAGAAGATGCCAGTCATTGAAAGAAGCAGCCTGTCAAGCTGAAATTGAGCTGCAAAGATTCACTTCCAGGAAGATGTCAAGAGAAATCACCAGTTGCCTGGGCAACCTGTGATTATCGCAAATGCGGATGTACAGCCACCCTCCCCTTGTTCAAGCTGACCCAGCACAAAAAGCTCATTTCTAGGAGCCAGACAAGACTCAAGAAAGTACACATAACGATAGACTTCTACGATCTGAAACATGGGTTCTTCCACACAAGAAGGATGACCAAACACCATGGCCACCAAATTCCTCAGGGTCAGACACAACACTTGCCAACCTACACACAAAAGTCCAAGTGATGATCAGCGTGAAGACATAAATGATTTTCTACCTAGCGACCAAGAAGATGCTGACCCACAACTGGATGGTTAGTGATGAAGTAGAATCTCAACATACATCGCCCACACCAGGAACTATGACTGAACTGGTGATCCCAGATGTGTTCAAGGGCAAGTCATCACAAGGGTTAGATCCCGTCAGAGAGGAACTCCCCATGGGAGCACACTGTACACATAAACCTTATTATGCCATTATGTTGACCAACTCACTTTTAGGCAAGGATATTTGTACTTCAGAAATGGCTCTACCCAACCTCCAGGTCCTCCACAGATGTCATAAATGAACATGGCCAGGTTTTAACAATGCCAGAGAGTCTTGGAGACCACGAAGCATGGGTACCCTTTCTACCAGAAACTAATGAACTTAACACATGTGAAGTCATAGTCCATGGGGAAAAGAAAAACATCATGGACATTGGTCCATATGAAAGGAAGTACATTTGGCATTTGCAGATTAGGTCCATTGACATCCAGAGAGAGGGAAAAATCTTTCACGTATAAACATTATCTGAGTCTGCTTCCACACCTCCATTGTGAGCCTGCCCTATCACCAAAGATTTCAAACACTACTGATTTCCACACATATATTTTGTAGTGCTGCATAATTTTGATACAATTTTTTATACTTTGTGACTTTCTACCTTTTTTTTTTTGGTCAGTCATGGGGCTAGAACTCTGGGCCTGGGTACTGTCCCTCAGCTCTTCAGCTCAAGGCTAGCGCTCTACCACTTGAGCCACAGTGCCACTTCCAGTTTTCTAAGTGGTTAATTGGACTTTCTTGCCCAGGCTGGCTTTGAATCGCAGTCCTCAGATCTCAGCCTTCTAAGTAGCTAGGATTACAGGTGTGAACCACCATACTCAGCCCCTTTCTACTTTGAATCATAATAAAACAGAACATTAAGGGGAAAAAAATCTTAAGCCATTATTCTGACTATGGAATATTTACTGGCAAGGTCACTAGTGGAAATAAGGAGACCCGTTAGGCTCAGCCAGGCATAGGGTGAATCGTGAAGGATGGGAGACGCAAGGCAGGCCTGGGCAGTCAGGACTCTGGAGCTATTGAATCAAGAGGACTCATCATCATCTGGAGGTGGGAATGAGGTACATGGGAAACTTTGCCTGTATTTCAGGCAGTGTGTGATCATAGATACTGCATTTAGACTCAGCTATTTAGAACACATTTGCATATTCAATACAATTTGAAATAATAACCAAAGGGAGTAAGCAGAAATACCTCTAGAAAATACTACTATTCTTTGTTTTTGTTTTGTTTCTGGTGCTGATACTGGGGCTTGAATTCAGAGCCTGTGTGCTGCCCCTTCAGTTTTTTACTCAAGGCTGGCACTCTACTACTTGAGCCACAGCTCAACCTCCAAGAAATTACTATTAACCTTTATAATCTTCACTTAAAATGGGCAGAGTAGCTATATATATGTATTTTTAGGGGGGAGGGCCCGTTCGTGGGGCCTGAACTCTGGGCCTAAGCACTTGTCCCTCAGCTCTTCAGCTCAAGGCTAGCGCTCTACCACTTGAGCCACAGTACTACTTCCGACTTTTTTCTTTTTGCTTATGTGGTGCTAAGGAATCAAACCCAGGGCCTCAGGCATGCAAGGCAAGCGCTCTACCACTAAGCCAACTTCCCAGCCCAGAAGCTATATTTTGTAGTGCTTTTAACCATATAACTTAATAAGGATGTGTCACTTTTATTAAGGGTAAGAGAATAAATGAAGGCTGAAATGCTAAGATAGTATTTTTCTGTTTGGTTTTACCATAAAACAAATTTTACTACTTTACTCAATGGCCCAGAAGTATACTTTCCCTTAAGTTATAAAAATTGCATAATTTATAAAATCCTTGTTAATTTAAGACCAATAAATATTTTAACCACATAAAATATTTATACATATATAAAATAGCTCATTCTTATTTATTTCTACTATAATATTTCCAGCATTTCTATTTATTAAAAATCCAGATTGAGCCTGGCACCGGTGACTCACGCCTATAATCCTAGCTGCTCAGGGGCTGAGATCTGAGGATAACAGTTCAAAGCCAGCCTCGACAAGAAAGTCTGTGATACTCTTTTATCTCCTATTAACAACAACAAAAAAAAATCTGTAATCCCATAACAGTGGTCCAGAACAGGAATCCATTTTTCTCTAAGAAGCCCAGCACTAAGTATTTTAGGCCTTGTAGGCTACTCTGTTCTTTCCTGTAGGTCAACTATAATCAGAAGCAATATGTAAACAAAGGATCATAACTTTGTTCCCATAAAACTTCATTTACAAAAATAGGCCATGACCCAAATTTGATCTTCAGCCTGTCCTTTTCTGACCCTTGGACTTTCTAGAAAACCGGACTTTTTAAGTATTTCTTGTTTCTATAGAATTGCAGGATTCAAGTTTCAGGAAATATGACAGCATAAACTTAGAATCATAACATGAGACTGCCAAATCATAGAATGACGTGGAAGCCTCTTTAAAATACAGTTGCCTAGACTATACCCCACGTAACAATCATGTGTGCCTTCTAAAATGCCCATGCATGATTCTGCCATGCCTGTCAGCCAGAACCAACATTTATCTGGTCCAGACCCCTCAGTTTACAGAGGTACCTCGTATTTAGCAGCTGAGTCAAACAACTGGTTAATTGCAGATCTGAACTGAGCCCCAGGTATGCAGATTCCCATCCTATAATGCTTTTTGCTTTCTTTCTTTTTTGTGGGTCCAGGGCTTTAAATGGGTGTCTGAGCACTGCCCTTGAGCTCTTTTGTTCAAGGCTAGCCCTCTACCACTTAAGCCACAGCTCCACTTCCAGCTTTTTGGTGGTTCGTTGGAGATAAGATTCTCACAAACTTTCCTGCCCAAGCTGGCTTCAAACTATGATTCTCGGACCTCAGCCTCCTCAGTAGCTAAGATTACAGGTATGAGCCACCGTGCCAATCTCCTATAATTTTTTTTTCCTACTGATTCTGAAGCTTCTTGCTTATATCAGCAGGTAACCCAAAGGGCTGCTATTGAATTTTAAGTTTTGTTATCTTCTGTAAGGGTTTTTTTTTGGTAAATTTCTTGGCTTTCTTGGTAACTACTAGTTCAGGTGATGAGAATGTAACTTGGTAGGAAAGCCTGCCTAGCATGCTTGTGGCATATCTCCAAGACCCCCAAAACAAATTATACAAACTGTCTCTTTCTTCCATGGAAATTAAACTTATATTTAGGAAGCAGTCTACTATGTATTCAGTATTAACTTCATTTAGCTACACATGTTGGAAGATTCAGTAAGTGAGACCCTGTAATCATGGGGTTTGGGTGAAAGAACAGCATCATACTTTCTTGTTGTCTCTGCTTTAATGTCAGCTGGACAACAGGCTGCCTGGGGTTTCATTATTCCTTTTGTTTTTGTTGTATGTTTCCAGTGCTGGGATTGAACCCAGGGCCTAGAACATACTGTACATACTGTACCCCAGCCTGGCAGATGCACTCACTCTTACATGCAGATGAAGTGCCAGAGCACTTGTGCTGTGGCTTACTCGATCTTCAGGGTCCACTCCCAATGCAGGCCACAGGGACGGAAACTAGGTTTGTATTTATTTTAGAGAGTCTGCTGTCTAGCTAGCCACAAGCCCAATGCTCAATTCACATGACAGCCCTGTGAGTCCAGTTTTATTACAACCATGTTTTACAGATAATATGAGGCCCAAAGAAGATGAATAATAGCCTGCAAGAAGCAAGGGCAGAGCCTGACCCCTACTACCAATAGCTTAGACAAAAAAAATGAAATGTTACCAAAGGTGAGTACTGGTGGGTGGCTCATGCCGGTCATTCTAGCTACGTAGGAAGCTGAGATCTTGGGCAAGAAAATCCATGAGACTCATCTCCAATAAACCACCAAAAAAGCAAGAAGTGGAGCAGTGGGGGCTAGGGATGTGGCTTAGTGGTAGAGTGCTTGCCTTAAACAAAAGAAGCTCAGGGACAGTGCCTAGGCCCTGAGTTCAAGCCCCAGGACTGGCAAAAAAAAAAAAATGTGGAGCAGTGGCTCAAGTGCTAGCCTGGCTCAAGTGCTAGCCTGGAGAAGAAGACACTCAGGGCTGTTCAAGCCCCAGGACCAACACATTTAAAAAAAAGAATCTTTTTAACCAAACAAACAAAAGGTCATTGTCTTCTCTACTCAATGCCTTTCTTGACTTTCCTCAGCCTAACTTTCCATCCACCAAGACCCAGCACAAACGAATTTTTTTTTTTAAGTAATCAGAGGTCATAACAAAGCACAAAAATAAAGTAACAGCAGGGATGTTTGTTCCCACAATGTTGACTCTGGAATGAAAATATCCTGAAGACGGTAGAGATGGTGCTTGGTTCTGTTGTTAGGGCTCCTTCCCTTACCCCCCTTAATAGCATCATCTTCTAGTCACCCCATTTGGGACACTCTAAGCCTCCTCCCTTCTTTTGTGGAGGATGCAGGGTTTGAGACCAGTTGCCAGTCACCATGTAGCCCAGGCTAGTCTCAAACATGTGGCCCTCCTTTCTCATCCTCCCTTGTGCTGAGATTACAGACATATACCACCATACCTGGCTCTTTTTCTTTAGGTCAGTTGTGGGGCTTGATCTCTGGGCCTGGGCGCTGTCCCTCAACTCTTCAGCTTAAGGGGAGAGCTCTATCACTTGAGCCACAGCATCACTTCCAGTCTTCTGGTAGTTTATTAGAGAAAAGACTCTCACAGACTTTCCTGCCCAGGCTCACTTTAAACCATGATCCTCAGATCTCATCCTCCTTAGTAGTTAGGATTACAGGCGTGAGCCATTGCCACCCAGCTACCTGGCCTTTTTTGTTTGTTTTTAATTCTCTCCTACCCTCTCTTCTGATCGCTTACTTACCAAGTTTTACTGATTCTTTGTATACAATCATATCTTTTCATCCTTGCCTCTCCATTCCTCTACTATTTTCCTCAGGTTTGTCATTAACTTCCCACCTTTACTCTCAAGAAAGATCTAACTGGGCTGGGAAGGTGGCTCAGTGATAGAGCGCTTGCCTTGCATGCCTGAGGCCCTGGGTTCGATTCCTCAGCACCACATAAGAAAAAAACCGGAAGTGGTGCTATGGCTCAAGTGGTAGAGCTGAAGAGCTGAGGGACAGTGCCCAGGCCCAGAGTTCAGGCCCCACGAGCGGACCAAAAAAAAAAAAAAAAGAAAGATCTAACTGATCTCTTCAGTTTTTCTCCTTACTAATTCTATCTGTTACGACTGGTTCTTAGCCTTTAATCCATAACATTTAGTTTATAATACTCTTCTAACTCTTAACTACCTGCCACTCCATTGTAACAATACTAGATTACCCAAGATTCTCTGCACTTTGGACACGTTCCTTGTCCCTGCCTCCTGAATGCCATTCTTCATGCATCCCACTCCACTAAGATTCAACTGCCCACTCCCAGGCACCTTTCCTCTGAATGTCCATGCATTTTACTTTATTTTTTGCCATTCCAGGAGCTTGAACTCAGGCACACTGTCAGGGCTTCATGCATGCTAGGCAAGCGCTCTACCACTAAGCCACATTACCAGCCCCTCCATGCATTTTATATTGTGCTGCCTCTGTGTGTGTGTGTGTGTGTGTGTGTTTGAACTCAGGGCCTCACACTCTGGATTTTTTTCCTTCTCAGTGATGGCACTCTACCACTTAAGCCACACATCCACGGCTCATGGACTTTTCTGCCCAAGGCTGGCTTCAAACTTCAATCCTTAGATCCCAACCTCCTGAGTAGCTATTTTGATTAATCTTTTGTCTTCATGCTGTATGTTTAAAACTCAACATAAAAGCTATTTCTATGGGTTGGTTTTTTTTTTCTGATGGAGTTGTTTGTTAGATTTTTGTTTGTTTTTTCCAGTGCAGGGATTTCCAAGTTCCTGCATTTGCTACACAAGCATTCTTCTCCCTGAGCTATATGCCCAGCCCACCAAAAAAAAAAATTGGGGGGGGGTGGTCCGGTCATGGGGCCTGAACTCTGGGCCTGGGCGCTGTCCCTCAGCTCTTCAGCTCAAGGCTAACGCTCTACCACTTGAGCCACAGTGCCCTTCAGACTTTTTTCTTTATGTGGTGCTGAGGAATTGAACCCAGGGCCTCAGGCATGCAAGACTAGCGCTCTACCACTGAGCCACCTTCCCAGTCCCACAAAAATTATTTTTGAAGAAAACAGTGGCCTTACCTGTGGGCGCTCCCCCCAAGGTGAGATGACTGTCTATTCCAGCACTCTTCTTGTAGGCTGCCATCCCTAGCTGCTAAGGTGTGGATCTGATTGGGCCAATGTGCAGTGTGGCCTTTGCCACTGTGCCAGTATTCGCTGAAGGTGTGAGGCATCCTGAGACCCTCGTTTGTCCTTATAATAACTTGTTCCTCTCTCGATATTCAGCCGCTCTTCACCCAGAGAGGGCCAGCAAGCCCAACACCCATCCTCGACCACATTACACTCTCTAGAGTGTCACCTGCCACCACTGCTCGTTAGTAAAGGACATTACTGGAAATAATAGTTGTATCAAATCACGGCGTCAGTCACCAGATATCACTGTGCACCTTGCTCTCCTTTATGGAGATTTCTTAAGAAAGAAAACTTTCTGACCTTCATACAAAGAATGCTTTTGCCTTTCCTGAGCTCTGCTTTCCCCTTATGGACATTGTGAATGTTTAACCTAACCCTCTGGTTCACTTCCAAAAAGTTTAGAGCCAAACCTGTGGCTCACCTGTAACAAATGTGCTCTATGCCTCATTAACTTCATTCCTGACTCCAGCTTTGTGTCTCTAGAGTCAGTCTCTCTCTCTCTCTCACCCCCCCTCTCCCCCTCTCCCACTCCTTCCCTTACTCTCCCTCCCTCCTCCCTTGAGCCTACTGGATAAGCATTCATCTCTGAGCTCTACTCCCAACCCCTGACTATTCTTTCTTCTTAATTCATGTCATCTTATGCCATTTTATAAGTATATATGTTTTTTTCATAAACAACCCTGTATTGTTTCTGAAGTTGTTCACACTATACTATATGTACACAAAATAATCTTGGATACATTTTATTTAGGCCATTTCCTTTTTAATTAAAGGGTACAGGCCTGGGATGTAGCTTGGTGGCAAAGCGCCTGCCCAGGAAGTGCAATGTCCTGGATTCGATTCCCGGTACCAAAAAAGTAAAGACCAAAAAAAAAAAAAGGATACACCTATTTCTTGTATACGTTTTGGCTAGGTTTTGGTTAATGGAAATGGTATACCACAAAATTTTTCTCTTATTTTAATAGTGCAACTAAGTGATAAAATAGCCTTTTGCTGGCCAGATTTGCTTAAATTGATAACATAATTCTAGCACTGTTATTTTTATAGCTGTTTCAGTTTCCTTACAATACGCTTTTGTTTTATTCTCTCCGTCTGCACTACAGTTTGTTATTGTGTGAGTTTTAGAAATATTATACTGTCAGCTCAGTGCCTTGCAGTTAACTGTTGAGTCTCAAAATATTACATCACCTACACTCATCAGACTTCCTGTCGTTGTTATCATTCTGCCCGCACGCTAATCCCATCAACAACTTCATCTCATTCCAGCCATAAAGGAACTATTCTACTATTTAGACAAGTTAGTATGAATGAATATTTGTTTCCAAACCTCATTTGCTTCGATTGTTTTGGAGTCCTGTCCAGATGTTCTGATTATTTTACTAATATCGACTTTGCATAAATATTATTTGTACAGCTTTTTAAAACTATACACGACTTCAAGCACAATTCTGTGAAGTCAGTGGTATGACTGAAGCTCGACCCAGGTCTTCCAATTCCTGTGCCATGCTTCCTTTCAAAAAGTCAGAAAGAATGCCTATCTTGCATTATGAACATTACAGTCTTACCTTAGCCAAGATTGAAAAAGGAAAATGACTAAACGCATGGCATCACTTGTATGCATAGCTGATTCCAGAATCAGCAACGAATTTCATCCTACCACTTTCATGATTTTCTGTTCTTAAAGTTATTGTGCATGGGCTGGGAAGGTGGCTCAGTGGGAGAGCACTTGCCTTGCTTGCTTGCATGCATGAGGCCCTGGGTTCGATTCCTGAGCACCACATAAGCTAAAAGAAAAAAGTCGGAAGTGGCGCTGTGGCTCAAGTGGTAGAGTGCTAGCCTTGAGCTGAAGAGCTGAGGGACAGCGCCCAGGCCCAGAGTTCAGGCCCCCACAACCGGACCCCAAAAAAAAAAAAAGTTACTGTGCTTTTGGATGTGTGTGTGTGTGTGTGTGTGTGTGCGTGTGCGTGTGTGTGTGTGTGCGCGCGCGCGTGCGCATGCATGTGCGCACAGGCGCCAATTTTGGGGCTTGACCTCAGAACTTAGTCACTGACCCTGAGCTTTTGTGTTCAAGACTGGCATTTTACCACTTGAGCCACAGCTCCATTTCTGGCTTTTCTAATAGCTCATTGGAGATGAGAGTCTCACAAGACTTTTCTGGCTGGCTTTGAACCATGATCTTCAGGTCTCAGCTTCTTGAGTAGCTAGGATTACAGACATGAGCCCCTGGCTGTTACTGTGCTTTTTCTGGACAGTTCTCATGGCTGTCACTCCACTGTGGAAGGAGGAAGCAGTATTTTAGCTTCTCTCTTGAAAGTGAATGTTGAAATGGAAACTATTTCTCTTGGTAATTAGTAACTCTTTGTTTTTTTCTTCAGACCCTTTGGATTCATCTTTAATCTAAAAATAACTTGCTGTTCTTAACCCTACATATTCATCCAAGAGTCAAAATGCATTTACTGCTGTGGTGTCTGGTAAAACATCAGCCACAGCTCTAATCAGCCTCTGCACTGAAATAGAAATTTTAACCCTCAGACTTAAACTGCCTGCCCGAAAAATCCCCAGTGGTTCACACATAGCACCCAAGCTGGAGTTGCTTCGCCAGGCATTATTGTGGTTAAACACTTTGCAATTCCATTTAGTACCTCGGCCTTGTAAGAGTCACCTGCTGTCATGCTGGATAATAAACCCTGTCTTCTGCCTCTTCTTCAGCTCCCGAAGCTCCCGAGCTAGGCCCTGCTCTGTACAATGGACCCTGTGGTCCTCAGCTACATGGACAGTCTGCTGCGCCAGTCAGATGTCTTGCTTTTGGATCCCCCGTGCTGGCTCAATGACCACATCATTGGCTTCGCCTTTGAGTACTTTGCCAACAGTCAGTTCCATGACTGCTCGGACCACGTGTGCTTCGTCAGCCCTGAGGTCACTCAGTTCATCAAGTGTGCCAGCAGCACGGCAGAGATCATGGGGTTCCTCGAGCCCCTGGGTCTTTCCCACAAGAGGGTGGTCTTTTTACCCATCAATGATAATTCCAACCAGGCAGCGGGGGGAACCCACTGGAGTCTGTTAGTTTATCTCCAAGACCAAAATAGCTTCTGTCACTACGATTCCCACAGCAGAAGCAACTCAGTCCACGCAAAGCAGGTAGCAGAGAAACTGGAGGCTTTCTTAGGCCGAAAAGGAAACAGACCAATCTTTGTGGAGGAGAAAACAGCTGCTCAACAAAACAGCTACGACTGTGGCATGTACGTGGTGTGCAACACCGAGGCCTTGTGCCAGAACTTCTTTCGGCAGCAGCCTGAGACCCCGCTGCAGCTACTCACCCCCTCCTACATCACCAAGAAGAGGAAAGAATGGAAAGATCTCATCCTCAGACTTGCTAAAAATTAGTCACTGAAGAATCTTCACCCCTCTGGACATTTCCTCTCTCCCTAGTCAGTGGATGGCTGCAGTTCTCAGTGCCTGATCTCAGATGCCAAGTAAATGAAAACTGACTGACTGCGCTGACCTTTTTTTTTTTTCTTTTTTTGAAATATGTCATCCTTTGCATTGTCCTAATGGAAGTTTCACTTTAACCTCGACTTGAGAGCAATAAATTCTTTGAAAATGTCTTCTATACCAAAACCTTAAAACAAACTTAACATTTACTACACACACGGTTCAACTATGACTTTTCTTACTGTTATGAAATTAAGTCCCTTGTGGTTTCCCTTATCCACATTGGCTTTTCCAGAGGAAAAGCAGCCATCTGTAAAACAGATCAAAATATGAAATCTAGGAGACTGCCAGAAGAAAACCATAGAAGAGCCAGGAATTTGGTGAGCAGCCTATAGAATTAGAGAGGTCAATTGGCCTAACTTCATAGAAGGCCTAAACGTTATGAAAAGTGGTTATTCAATTCTACAATGTCTCTTCCATGTACCATCCAAAGGCTTTTCTGGCTATTAGCATAATGTTTACAAATGTTTGATAAAAATGATGTTGAAGCCAGGCGCCAGTGGCTCACACCCATAATCCTAGCTACTCAGGAGGCTGAGATCTGAGGATCATGGTTCAAACCCAACCCAAACAAGAAAGTACATGAGATTTTTATCTCCAGTTAAACACCAAAAAGCCAGAAGTGGAGTTGTGGCTCAAGTGGTAAAGCACTAGCCTTGAACTAAAAAAAAAAAAAAAAAAAAAGTTTAGTGATAACACATAAGCCCTGAATTCAAGCCCTAGGACCTGCACCCAAAAAATAATAATAATGTTAGCCCATCTTTAATTCATAGAATGTCTTTAAGAAAGGGAAAATCTTGCCAGGCATCGGTGGCTCACACCGGTAATCCTAGCTACTCAGGAGGCTGAAATCTGAGGATCACAGTTCAGAGCCAGCCTGGGCAGGAAACTCTATGAGACTTTTATCTCCAGTAAACCTCTCAGAAAACTGGAAGTGGTGCTGTGGCTCAAGTGGTAGAGCAACTCACCTTGAGCTGAAGAGCTGAGGGGTAGTGCCCAGGCCCAGAGTTCAAGCCCCATGATCAACCAAAAAAAAAAAAGAAAGAAAGAAAGGGAAAATCTTGAATAATTTCCTTGAAGTAAATAACTTCATTTGCTTAGTGAGCCAGAATGACTTGGTACCCTGAATTAGTAAGTGCTTTTCTTTCCCTTGTCTGCAAGGCATTCATTCTCCCCTTTACAGCCAAGAATTTTTTGGTCCTAAAACTCCTGATAACTTCCAAAGATTAGCTGTTGAGGGGCTGGGAAGGTGGCTTAGTGGTAGAGTGCTTGCCCTTGCATTCATGAGGCCCTGGGTTCAATTCCTCAGCACCACATAAGCTGAAAAAGCCGGAAGTGGCACTGTGGCTCAAGTGGTAGAGCACTAGCCTTGAGCTGAAGAGCTGAGGGACAGCACCCAGGCCCCACGACCGACCAAAAAAAAAAAAAGATTAGCTGTTGATTTCTGCTTTTTTGATAACCAGCTTTTACTCTTCATCTTAGGTCTGGCAGAATCATTTTCTATTGTGTTCTGGTGACTTCAAGACCATTATTGTGTCTGAAAGTTAGAGGTTGGGGGGAGGTTGTTTGTTTTGTTTTGTTTTTCTGCCATTTCTGGAACTTGAATTCAGAGCCTGGCCATTGTCCCTTATTTTTTCCTCTCAAGGTTAGTGCTCTACCACTTGAGCCACAGCTCCACTTTCAGCTTTTTTTTTGGGGGGGGGGGCAGAGAGTTAATTGGAGATAGGAGTCACATGAATTTGTCTGCTTATGATAGCTTTGAACCATGATCCTCAGATCTCTGCCTCCTGAATAGCTAGGATTACAGGCATAAACCACAGTACCTGGCAGGTTGGTTATTTTATTTGTTTTTGTCAATCGTGGGGGCCTGAACTCTGGGCCTGGACTCTGTCCCTCTGCTCTTCAGCTCAAGGCCACTCTACCACTTGAACCACAGCACTACTTCCAGCTTTTTCTGCTTAGGTGGTGCTGAGGAATGGAACCCAGGGCCTCATGCATGCAAGGCAAGCGCTCTACCACTGAGCCACCTTCCCAGCCCCAGCTGGTTATTTTTTAACTCCAAAGGGTGAAAGTGACTTCTCACCCTTTCACTTACTTCAAAATGCAGGCGATGCATTTTTAAAATGTGGAAGGAACCAAGGGCATGTAGAAATACTAGCTCTCCAAAACCACTGATTTTTTTTTCTTTAGTTGTTTCAAATAATCATCAACAGGTAAATTGGGAACACATATTAGTTTCTGTTCCTAATGAAAATGAGATTGCAATCTCATTTTGAAACCAAAGGTTTACTTCACCTATAAAACTTATTTCAGCCTCCTTTCCCCCCAGCCCTCATAACCCAAAATAACCTCCCCAGCGGTGACCCACAGAGAAAGAGACTCAGTTCCTTTTAGCCAAGAAGGGGAAAACACCACAGTGTAAAAAAGTACAGGTTGCGTAGCAGGCCTGAGTTGAACAGGAGTTAAAACAAGTCACAGAGAAAGCTACAGAAAAACGTTTCCATTTCATGTCATGGTTTGGATAAAAAGAAGACCTAATGAAAGACGGGCAGGAAACGATTAGGAACTGGTAATCAGCCACAGAGGTAATGAAGGCCAGCAAGTGGAGCTACTCTGGTCCCTGACTGGCCACCGGAGTTGGTAAAGATAAGAAGGTGCAATTCTGTTTCAATGACTGTTGACTTAGGCTGCTGGTCTAAACTTGAAAGAGTCAAATCTTCCTGGGGAGAAGTTGTCACATCTTTCTGATAAAGCAAAGTCTGTTTGCTTAAATGTCAAGATACGCCCACTTGAGAGTTAATGCAACTAAAAACAGTCTTTTCTAGTTCCCTAAGATTATCCCAGGAGTAAGTTTCTTTTTGTTTTACTTCTAACTCAACTAAGTCCTTTAAGAAAAAAAAAAAGATTGTAAGGTCTCACTTACCCAAATATGTAGCTTGGTTGGACTGTATCACATAAAACTAGTTCTGTCATTTGTAAATGTTACTATTAGAAATGACAGGAATTTGAGCTGACTTGGAGTATTGCACTTTATACTCTAAATGCCATCAATCCTGCACCTGCTCCACCATTCGCTGTTACTCTTATGTGATACAAAATAGGAAAAAGGTCTTTTAGTGGTATTGTGTCTAAATACTTCTTAGGGTCAAAATGATCCACTCTGAGCATGGTATAGTGGTATATGCCTGTAGTGTCAGCACTTTTTATGCTGAGCTGAGACAAGGATAGTAAGTCCAAGAAGGGCAGTGTAGGCTATATAACAAGATCCTAGCTCCAAAAAGAAATGAACTATTAGGCAAAATACAACCTCACAATATTCAAAAGGAAACCAGATTATTAAAAGTAGGGTTAGAATCAAATTGAACTACTTTGCTTTTCAAACTTCCTGTTGTATTATCCTGTAACCATGTTCACATTTGTCCCAGTCTCAGTATGAAATTGAGAATGGTCAGCATGTCTAAACCCAACTCTGGATGGTCATTAAAAAAATAACATCAGAGCTTTGAGCTGAAGAGCTGAGGGACAGTGCCTAGGCCCAGAGTTCAGGCCCCACAACTGGACCCCCCCCAAAAAAAAATAGCATCAGCTACTTTTAGGTGACTCACACCTATAATCCTAACTACTCAAGAGGCTGAGATCTGAGGATCATGGTTTGAAGCTAACCTAGTCTGGAAAGACATTAAGATTCTTATCTCTACTTTGCCACTTAACATGCCAAAGTGAAGTTGTGGCTCAAGGGTTAGAGCACTAGCCTTAAGTGAATAAGCTCAGGGACAGCACTCAGGACTGGAACAAAAAAAAATAGTGTCAATGTGTTTTCTGTTTTATTACTGTCTAAATCACAAATATTTCCACTAGGTATGTAGGGGTTATTTATTAACAAATAATTTATGAGGTATAGCAGCACTGGTCCTAACTAGATAAGAATAATTTTAAATTTACCAGTAGATCATATTTCTGTTAATGGTTTATCCTTTTATTTTATTTTATTTTGGGCCTATGGCTTGAATTTATGACCTGGGCACTGTCCCTCAGCTTCTTTTGCTCAAGGCTAGCATTCTTGAGCCACAGCACCACTTGTGGCTTTTTGTGTGTACATGGTACTGAGTCAGAACCAAACCCAGGGCTATATGCATGCTAGGCAAGCACTCTACCACTAAGCCACATTCCCAGACCATGCTTTATCCATTTTTAATATAATTTTCTTTGAGAATGGGTCTTGCTCAAGCTATACTATAATTTTTACTATATCCATATTTACTGTGCTTTTGTTTCAGATAGATATTTTTTATTTATATAATTTTACTATATTTACTAGCATATACTAGTTGTATGCCATGATACTACCATACATATACTCAATATCCTCCAATCAACTGAGTGGTAAAGTTTCATTGAGGTGTCTCGGTTACATAGTTACTAACTTCTGCTGAAAATGTGGGTTTTCTTTCAGCACTTTTAAAATAGAAAAGGAGAACATACATAACTACAGAAATTTACATGCTGTGGTGTGAGACCTGTGGCAGTTTTAATCAAATCTAAGCTACCGGTGATAAACTTAGAACCTGGGGTAGCCTGAGACACAGAGCCTCTTCTGCAATCTGAAGGGAGTGTGTTAAGGCAGATGCTGTAAGGATGAAGGTCTGTGTAAAGCACATGACAGAGACTAAAAGAAACACGGCCTCCCTTCTGCACTGCTATCAAGTCCTGCCTTCAAGACTTAACAGCAAGTGCGGAAGTTAGTTTTGTATCTCCACACAGTCAAATAGCTGTGTCACAAATGGCCTGATGATACCAGTGGCTCATGCCTGTAATCCTAGCTACTCAGGAGGCTGAGATCTGAGGATAGAAGTTTGGAGCCAGCTTGGGCAGGAAAGTCCACCAGACTCATCTCCAGTTAAACACTAGAAAACTGGAAGTGACACTGTGGTTCAAGCGGTAGAGCACTAGCCTTGAGCACCAAGAAGCTTAGGGACAATGCCCAGGCCCTGAGTTCAAGCCCCAGAACTAACACTAAAATAAAGAGAAGAAGAGAAAGGAGGGAGGGGAAACTCAATTTCCCACCATCCAGACCCTTGACTCCTGGTTGGGAACAGCCTTGTGCTCCCCTACG